AACATCACGTTTTAATTCTGACTTATTGAATGGTTTTATACAACCGACTAAATTTTCTAATGATTCATCGAACAATACTACTTGTAATAATACCACTAATATTAGTCATTATAATCATAACAATAGTATAAATAACAATAATACTAATAATGCTAATGGTTTAGTTACTGATTTCAATGGTAGCGGAACACGTGAATCAAATTTAGCTGCATTGGCGGCTGCCGCAGCCGCTGCGGCATCAACTATATTCTGTGGATCACCAACACCGAATAATTTCATGAATAATTGTCTACGTTCTAATCCTACTGTAAATGGTACACCGAATTTAAATGCCGGATTATTATCAGCTAATCAAATTGCTCTACTTGGTACACCGACTATTCCTTCTCCAGATACAAAATTATTTGATCCTAGGTAGGTTAGTCAGTTAGTAAATGAATAAACAACGGTGTATTTGTATGTTCATCGCTTATTCCTGATTTCACTTTTGTTATGTATAAATAATTATAAATAGAAATATAAATAATTGGATGGGAACTCAGTAGTCTGAAGATTAACTGCTCGCCTCGAGACCTTAGGTTATTAGGTTGAGTTCGTGGAGAGATCATAAAAGCCCATTGCTACTAAGGAGGGCCATATTAAAATGAAACAGTTATTAAGTGTTTTACAGTCCGAAACCATTTGTTATATTAATTATGCGGACCCGAACCAGGTGATCTGCACTCCTTAGTCCAACAGTCAGCTACTTTATTGACTGATACCACATTTTTATACGGCCATCCTTAGCTTTTTTAAACCTAATCCTACACCAGCAAACACCGTGTATAGGGGTAAACGATGGTTGGGCAGTGTAGTACTTATCTTGCATCTAAACGAAATGACTCGATAACTTCGAGTTATTTTACTCGACTTAATATTCGAAAGTTCTATCTTCAACTCCATTGTCTATTTGGTCGTTGTGAATACACGGTGTTAACCGCTAAGATGATCACAAATTAAGATCACATTCAATATGTTTGATCTGTTTTATAACATTTATACTCGTATTGTATAATTGCATATTTATTATCATATGCAGTAATTCATGTCTATGTATACAAGGAACAACAACCTAATGGTTTAAAATTTTAGTTATGAATTCACAGCTTTGAATCTCACCTCACCTAAACTGATAAGGGTAGTCTGGATGGAATTGCCATCCCTGAATTACACTTACACAAGGAGAGAGGAAAAATTGTAAATCAGGGTTGAATAAATGAATATAAACTTGGTGCATGAGTTTAATAAGTAACATAAGAAGTTACATTCGTCGAGCATTGACCTCAGTTAGGTTGTCATAAAAAAACAGGAAGTAATGGGTAGCTCTTTCGTCCTCTGAATGTACTCCTTAGAACTGACTATTCACAAGTCCGCTAGAGATTGACCTCAGAAACTTTATGTCCTGTGGTACGGCGAAACAACTATCCGTTCGTTTTTAATTTTTAAAAATACCCTAAGTGAGATCAGTCTGCGACGGAAACAACCTACAAATCAAGTCAATTTCTGTACGAAAATTCTTATCAACTGGTCTTATCAAACACATATTCATGTGTTTGTTAGTGGTAGACTTGTAAATTTTCTAAGGACAACTTGTATTCTGTAAAGTTCTGTGATGGCGAATACCAGACAAATATCACAGATGGCTATGGATGATGGGTACTTGATATTGTGAGTGAGCTGAAGTTGGGAATGTGAGTCACTGAATGTTAATGTTGTGCTCGTGTAGCAAGACCTGAAGTTCGTGAGTTCGACCCCTGGTGGCTTAATAGTTATTTACTATTGTGAATTCGTACACTGAAACGAACAGTTGTTCGCTGCTACTTGGATTTCAATAATTCCGTTATGTTCTGCCGTCCTCCGAGTCTGTCATTAACACAAAAGCTTTGTGTTCGTGATCCTAATCTGCCACATGAGTGAGAAAATCAACATTGTGTAGGATGCTGGGATTAGATAAATCGAATAGAAGATACTTGTACGACTGTTTCATAAATATTTATCTATTTGCCTGTGAAAATTAAGCAACCTTTTCAGCTAATAGCTTATATCGATTTATTCGAAAAGTGAAACGAAATCTTGACCATTAACGTCCGTTCACCAGTATCTAACATAATGCAGCCATAAATTGATATACCCGATTGATTCAGTGTATCAAACTGACAATGTTCCATGACACTATACTACCTTCAAATTGAACAACCGTTACAAATCTTCTATACCCGGGAAAAAACACTGTCTTGGATTTGTGGATGAACGCCACTGAAGAGTCCTATACCAGGACCAAATAGCTGTTTAATTCTTCCTGATTTTCAACGATTATCTAACTAAATTTATTCCATAATGTAAACCATAAAATTCTTCAATCTTTTTGTATTTTTATACATTAATTATCTTGTCACTTTTTTTAACCTAATAACCAGTTTATACGGATGTTCATTATACGGGACTGATTACTTTCGCCCACAACAACAATCTCATCAGCATGCACAGCAACAGCAACAACAACAACAGTCTCATCAACAATCACAAAAACAACAACAACACTTACTCTCTGTTGCCATGGCAGCAATGACCAATCCGACTTTACAAGGATGTGTTTATCCAACAACAGCTGATTTAAATACTACTTTCAATGCTACTTATCAAAATTTTTTGAATTCACACAATTCAACAACTATTCCAATACAAACTGATGCACTTGGTAATTGTTTAACTGGTACACCAGAGAATATTACTTTGAATGGTACAATTTATGCCAATCATCCTCATCAATCCCAACAACAACAAACACAACAACAAAATAATTTACTTCCGTCAACACCAATTCCAGGTTCTATAACACATATTCCTGATGCATTAAATAATAGTACTAGACCGGAAAGTGGATTATATCAATGGTTAATACCAAGTCATTTACTTAAAACTAACGGTAATAATAATAGTAATACTAATAATAATACTAATAATGAATGTCATATGACAATACCGGCTTCACCAGCGTTTTCATTGAACCCTGCCAATCATTTAATTGGATTAGATAAAACCAATCGACATGTGCAAATGTTATTATAATCAATAAGAAGTGAGTCTAGTTCTTTTTTCCCAAGTGTCAAGAGTATCGTATAGTAGGTACATCTAGCTGACGAGTCCAAAATAGGACGAAACGCGCGTCCTGGATTCTACTACTATCCAACATCCATATTTGCTTATAATGCTTATGACCTACTCGCAATATAGACGTAATCCGCACAGGATGCATAGTTGCCAATAAGAGACTAGTCAATTGCAGTCCTAAACATCAATGTGAAGATTCAAACAACCAATATAAAATGAATTGTCGTATAGTGTTGGATTTTGGTTAGAGTAGTGGAATCCAAGACTAAGTGTTTATTCTTAAATGATACTCGTTAAATTTATATATTTGATACTCAGTGTTGATATTCACACTGAAACTTGAACCTAGTAATCAAGTGTTGCTATGCACTGAGCTAATGAGTTCACATAGCTACTAACTTGTCTAACGGGTATTAACGTTTGTGTTCTTTCATTGTTGATATTATGGACGGTAATTAATTAGTCTTTGTCTGTATATATGTTCACCCTGGTCATATTACTCAAATATAACTAGTTAGTCAATGAAGTTTCAATAAAGTTGAATTATATCTATCCACTGTTAAGAAAAAAAGAACACGACACACTTTTTCTCTTAGGTGGATAGACGTACCTGTATCTTAACGTTGATGTTGAACCCAGTATTTATGCACTGAATTATTTGTAAGTTGACATTACATTTTGTGATACCATTTTGTATTCAGTGAATTCTTAATGTGCAAATTACAATTAACTAAACATCGGTAGTAGGAGGTGAGGATAAACACAAAGCTTTTAATAAAGAAATAATCCAAATCATTTAGGGTAAAATGTACATTCTTACCTACAAGCTCATTTAAACACATATACAAACAAGTAGATAATTTTTGAACACGTTTTCTTCATGATGATCAATTTACCTCACACGCTTATTACATACACGCACGAGTAAGCTGTTTCAAAATTTTTCTTACAGAAAATAAATAGCTATTTATTTTCAAGCTCTATTTTTATTTTAATTGAGATCATGAATCGATCAATGTTAAACTATCATTGGATACTTGAAAGCATTAGACAGACGTTTCGTTCTAGTATGGTACTCCTCAGTAGTGCGTATTCACGATCCTGTACGCGGGATTGGAACCTAAGACCTTCGGTCTCGCATTCAAACGCTTAACGTCTTTTTTTCTCTCATTACAATTGATGAACGACTGTCAAGTGAATTACATCTTAAAACATTTAATTATACTCAAACTTACTCATTTGATTCCTAAGTCATTCATGGTGGTAGACAATTTATCCACGTGTACTCACACATACAGAGACTTGAATATAGAAGGATACATACATAACTGTGTAGAATTCAATAATGAAAGACGATAATCTATACTTTTCTTATGTGATTGATTTATACACATTTGCTTCAGTCTATTCCTACCCGCCTGGTCTGTTTCTGAGTCTATTTAATCACCACCCTTTATTCATTCATCATGAGTTTCTAATCTCAAATTCCTCATGGGTAAAGCTTATATGAAATCTTTTTTAAGCAAGTAGGAGACTAAATAATACATCCAACATCCATACTTGTTTACATTCTATCTTCTTCCATATACTTAGGTGAATAGTACTTGAACGTGCACATATACATGTACTTGTTCGTACAACGTGAACACGTACATGATAAGTCAGTGTTGTGGTGGTAATCACTGGCGATATATCAAGATTAGATTATTCACCTAAAATAATTTTGCGGATATTTATCGTTGTTGTTGTCGTTGTTATGTTATGTAGAACATTACAATGTAGGGGGAAAACTCCACTGGTAACAACTTTACGAAGGGAAAAAGTAAACCGGTAGGACTTTTTTCGATGAAGTTGCAAGGATTATACTATGCTTATTTGTATATTGACAGAATACTAACAATCTCAAGAATGAATTGAAAAATTGACTAGATACATATAAATATATATCCTTGGAATATGTATTTCGTCGTTCCAGATATTTCTGATAGAATGGGAAATTTTACAGTGTACACCATGAATTGATCTCATTTGGATATCCACTGAAAACCAACCAGCTCTATTCAGTCGTTTCGTTCTACTATGTAACTCTTCAGTGGAAGTGTTCATCCATTACTCCACTTGGGGATCAAACTTAGGACATTTTAAGTTTTAATGAGAGAATTTGACGTTCAAATTAATGGATTTGTTATCTAATGGTTGACATTACTTTGAAACATTGCTTCTTGATTGTCAATGATTGTTTAACTAATATCAGTTCACAATGTAAACTGTGAAATTCAATGAAATTCATTAACCATTGATACCAAGAATATAAATTGTTGTAGAAATAACACTACTCATACAATTTGTAGCTTAGAACTCGATAGGATTGAACTATTCCTATCGTGTTATATAGTAGTGTACTGTTTGAATTTTCTACCTTGAAAAGCCCAATAAAAACAGAGATTGCAATGATTTTAAGAGGATAACGTGAATTTCTTTTTTTTCATATTCTAAAGGTTTTTATTAGCTAATATAAAACGGTACCTTAGTTATTAATTTACTCAGCTTTTAAACAATCAGGTCACAGGTTCGAAGCTTTCTCCGCCATCAGTCAACTGAGTAATATAATTAACACGAACACTATTATAAAAGTTGATAAATGAGACACACTCACTTACGTGCTTATTGTTAGATGTTGGTTGTAATTTATTACAATTAAAATTTAAAATCCTTTTGTTAGATGGTTAGAGGCAGTCAATAGGAAGCTTTACATGGGCTAAAATTTCTTGTCAGTTGACATTCGTCAGCAAGGAGTATCTACAACCTTAAGGGGGCTGCAAGATTCAGATCAGTGTCCTAAATACTTGATTGTAATTATTCTCATGAAATAAGTCATAAACTTTTCTTTTTGATTGAACTCATGAATAGATCAATGTTAGGTCATCACTGAAAACCTGGAAACATTTGACGGCCGTTTCGTCTTAGTACGGGACTGTTCGATAATGCGCATTTACGATCCCGTACGCGGAATTGACACACAGGACCTTCCGTCTCGCATACTAACGCGTAACCTCTAAATAGTGATCTAACATCGATCGATTCATGATCTCAATCAAAAACTTAACAATCTTCACAACTCCATATTCATAAATTTTTTCTTATTTCCCCATTTTCTTAGGTATTCCGATCATGTTAAAAAGAACTGAGTCAACAAAGAAATCGGAAGTCTTTTTGGTTATTCAATTTCAATAATAAAGAAAATATTGATATCATTCACTGTTCTTAAACATACCTTTTCTTTCTTTTCTTTCTCTCTCTCTCTCTCTCTTTACCCTCACTGTTTGTTTACAATCATTATTTCTTTGTGAATAAAACTAGTTTCATATAACGTAAAAGTGAATAATTCTTGCTCATATTTCTGAATAAGCAGACAACGTACATACGTATGCATGTGTAAAGTTTGAGTGTGTGTGTGTGTGTATTTGTGTGTGTATGTGTGTGTGTATTGGAATGTGTTTGCACACATGTAAGTGATTTCTCAAATTCAATCTTGTAATCAATCACTTAATTGATAATTAAACAGGCAGGTTTTATTTTTTAAAGAAAAGTGCATTGATCGATGAAGCATTTTACAGGTTTTTTTCTTTTTCATTTTTGTTTGATTTCTCCTTTTTTTTTCTTTCTTTCTGTATGTGGATCTCTTCAAGCTCTTCAAAGATGAATTATTATTATTATTAATTCCTTTCATTAATCAACGAAATCAGTGATATGTGATGTGTGTGTGTGTGTGAGTGCATGTGCTTTCTTTTCTATTCCGTTTTTTTGTCTGTTAATCAATCAATCAATCAATCGATTATTTATTGATCAATCAATCCATTTGAATTTTCGATTATTTTGTATGTCTGTGTACACAACACAATTTGTTGTTTATTTATTCAATAAATCAAAAAATAATTGTTTTAATGATCCATCTATTTTGAACAATTTGCCTTTCAAGCACACACACACACACACACACCAACATACACACACACATACATATTACACATATATACAATATGACCTGAAATGTTTAAATTGTAACTGAATCGATAAGATGGTGTTAAAAATTGGAAACTTGAAGCACACAACTTCTTTGTTTGTTTGTTTGTTTTTTAAAATGCCATAAAAGAGAAAACAACAACAACAACAACACTGATTTAGTTGTCAAGACAAAAAAAATAATAACCGATTTGTTTTTCTTTGGTTTCATTCAATAGATATATATATATATATATATATTTTGTCTATTGTTATGACTGCCTTTAGTGTATTGTATATTATATGAATGTATCGAAGATATGCACAGTTGTAAGTGAAGAGATAATGTTCCAAAAATGGTTAATCCAAATATAAATATGTAGGAAATATTTTTTCTGAAAAAAAAACCGTCAAACTAAAATCACCCCCCTTTAATATTAAAAAAAAAGAAAAAAAAACAATATGGTGATAATTCAAGAGTGAAACCATAGAATAGTATTGAATTCAATGAAAGGGATTGAAAGGTACTCAATTTTTTTTGTTTGTTTGTTTTTGCTTTTTGTGCATCAATCTAAAGGTGAAATTGTTGTTTATTTTCATTTGTTTTTAAACAAATCTACTACTTTAATGAGCTCCATCTTGTACTCTTTCATTTTGTGTAATAGATGATATTACTTCTGTTTTTGTTTTGTTTTTTTTTTGTGAGTAAGATTATTTTTATCTTGTACATGCGCAAGCGCATACAATTGTGTATTTAAACAAATGAAATGGATATATTGAAGAAAATTTTTTTTGTTAAGGAAGAAAAATGGGTAATTTTCTGTGATCTGTTTTTCACATGTTTGTCTGTTTTTATGACAAGGAGAAAGAGAGGGAGAGAGTGAGAGAGAGAGAGAGAGGGAGAAACCGAGGTGAATAACAAACTGTTTGTTTGTCTTTTTCTCTTCTTGTTTTTTTTGTTTTGTATTAGTTTATTGGAGATTACTGATAGACATTTAAATAAAACAAAATAATCTTTTATGAAATAATCTGTCTTTTATTACGATTGGTTAGTGTTGTTTTCATTACTTTACTGGTTGTCTATTTCAAACCTTTATTGGTGTCAGGGAGAGAGATATATTTGTTCAATACTACTGATTTCTAATGAATTCAGTAATTACTAATTGACATATTAAGAAAAAAGGGTTGTCTTTTTTTGGTTACAGTCTGAGAGATCTGTTTATATTGAAGAGGAAATTTGTATGTAAAAAAAATTGACAGGGATACTTTAAAGTGATGGTCAGTTTTGTCCATCAGAGGACTTTCAATTGAGCTATATTTGCTGAAATACTTGTTCTTTAGACTTTACGATCTCAGATAAGTTGACAGGAGAATGGTAATACCAAAAGCAGTAAACGTATGGTCCGCGGGCAAAGTCGTACAGGTAATTGTACTGGATGTTATGGCAGTAAGGTGTTTTCAGGCAAACAGCGTTTAAAACGGTGCTGTTTACCCATAAGAGAAGGACACGGTTAGAAAAGGTTGACCCTAAAAATGGTATACTTCATTTTGTCATACAGATTTTCGTCGTATTCTCCCCAATTGAGTGGTAACTTGTTGTGTTTTCATATTGATTCTGACAATAACAGTATAATTGTTATCAACATTCAATCCAATTCACTATCAAGATAATAAGTAGTCGACCACTTGAGGAGAAATTTTGATTGTTTCATTCATATTGACTGATCGCTGAGTAGTAAACAGTGTCACGTTTTTCTATTCCTTGATTGCTGATCTAATTCTATCAACCAAGTTGCGATGTAGCCACTGGTGTGAGTGACTCAACATCTCATGCACTATGTTGAGGTTTTAGGTGGTTAGAGGTAGTCGGCTGGAAACC